TCTAGGTTAAACAAAAAAATCCAATTGTAATCTCCTAGAATCTAATTTTAACATCAAAATATGAAGTAGAAACCATACCTAATACTACTCTGGATTAGAATAGAGCGTGGTGCGATTTAAGAGACACGAGAAATACGGAGTTCGTGAAACCTGGATTGGAAGAGAATAGCGGCAGTGAATTGCTATTAGGCTGGAGCACTGGTTGTATGATAGCGGTGGACTGCTATTAGGCTGGACCGCTGGAGCACTGATTGTATGATAGCGGCGGACTGCTTTTAGGGAATAGGGCGCAAGCGGTGGGAGGATCGAAAGTAGAGATAATGTTTAGGGATTAGGGCGAGGGAAAATGTTTTTAGTAGCGGGAAAAGGAAGCGGGAATAGAGGTCTGAATTAAAATAAATTGAACGAAACCATATGAAACACTCTTTAGTATCGTTACATAAACATGGTTCCCCGTCATTTTATTTCTTGTTTAATGCAACATTTGAAACGAAAGTGTTACATAAATAGTAGTAATATGCAATATTTTTTAATAACTGTTGCCTAATTATAAAAATCGGATTATTATGCAACATTTGTAAGTAAATGTTGCAAGATTTTACACCTACGTGTTATATGTAACACAAAAAATTATGTTGCAAATAAAGTGTTACAAAAGGTCTTTTTTGTTGTAGTGTTAGGTAAGCATAAGTCGTGCACATGACCCCGAAGCTCCAAATCATTGATGAATTTATGAATCCTAAAGTAAGCTAGCTAGCTCATTCAAAATTAATGGACTAGCGAATTTCATTTTCATTAATGATATATATATATATATATATATATATAGGAAATCTTTCCGGTAAGGTATACCTTACCGGAGCCTCCATGCGGCCTCCACGTTTTGAGGACCTTCCCGGTGGAATTTTTCAATGAAATTTTTTGCTCATGTTCTTCATCAAGTCTAGTACATCCATACCAAATTTCAGCAAAAAATTCAACCGGGAAGGCAGCCAAACGATTTTTGGAAGATAACTGCGTTTTATATGTATATAAAAAGTGCAGTTATCTTCCAAAAATCATTTGACTACCTTCCCGATTGAATTTTTTGCTGAAATTTGGTATGGATGTACTAGACTTGATGAAGAACATGCTCAAAAAATTTCATCGAAAAATTCCACCGGGAAGGCCCTCAAAACGTGGAGGCCGCACGGTGTCTCCGGTAAGGTATACCTTACCGGAAGAGTTCCCTATATATATATATCATTATTCTTCCTAACTCGGAAAGCTATGGAGACCAATGGGCCATAGGATTTTCCCAACCGTACTTGGTCGGGCTTCTCCACTCGCACAGGATTCTGGTAAACTTCCAATCTGACTCTTATTTTCAAAGATTTTGGCTCAAAAACTCCTAGGACTTCTTCGGGTCTTCGATGAAAGTCACCAGATGGACACCATCCTACTCTGACGCCTCCGATTCCCCTTTGTGTCCTGTTTGGGTGGCCCTGGAGGGGCTACGGATCCACTTTCATGATGCTAGATCCTTGTTCTCTATCGTTGGCTTATTGGGCAGACCGCTCAAAATAGATACGCCTGCTGCTAATTTTTCAAGACCGTCCAAGGCTAGAATTTTGATTGAACTTGATATTTCTAAGGATCTCCCTCCCAAAATTTGGATTGACAATGTTGTTTCAGATTTTTTTTCAAGCATTGACGTACGAACAATTGCCTGTTTTCTGCACTACTTGTTCTCGCTTTGGGCATACAGACAGAAATTGTTCAAAACCAATGATGCTTGATCTTGCTGAGGTTTCTGGAACTAAGGGAATTATTTCCCAGTCTGTCTAGAATGCCCAGACTGCTCCTGTTGAAGTTGCTGCCCCCATTAAATGATCATGGAATACGCCACACTGATTGTCCCCGGACCTCGGAAAACCCTCCAGAGGCTGTCAAGGCCAATGATGAGGAAAAATTTGTCCCGGCTGATATTGATATCACCCCCCCCCCCCCCCATGTTGCCTTGAAAAAACCTCATATTGAGGCTTGTGATTATGCGCCCAATCAGGCCTTGTCCCGGTTATTACTTGTTTAACTCCCCCCCCCCCCCCCCCCACACTACTGCTTTTGATGATCTTGTTAGGCCTCCCGTTGACAGGGTGAAGTGTGATTCTGTTGCCCCCTGTGATATTGACACAGTGGTGTGTGACATGGTTGCCCACCATATTGATGTTGCTGACACAGATCCCCCCTGTTGATACTGTCGATGCCTCATTGAACTATGAATCATTTCACTTTCTGGTTGACCCAGTGCAGTCCCAGGATTGTGCCTCTATTGATGCCTTTGACCACTATGATACCAGGAATGTTGGAACTATATCTCACAAAGTAACCGGAACCAATATGGTTCATACACTAATGATGATGCCTACACGATCTTAAGCTTGATCTCCGGAAATGATGAAATGCATTCTGATCCTCCAAAAGATGAAACTGCTACCAAACTGAAAAATTGTCCCGAATACTAGCCCCGAGTGTTCATACACTAATGACCTTGTTCCCCTTTCCAATGATGAGACCCTCTCTGAGGAAAACCCCCCTGTTTACACTATTGCAGGTAGAACAGAACCACTAGATAAGGAAGTATGCCCGGACGGTTTCACAGAAGTGAAGACGAGAAGAAACAAAAACAAGAACATCATGAAGATGACAACAAACTATTTTACGTTGTTGGTTATACATCCCACCCAATGGTTACCAGAAGCCAATCCTGAAGACCCCAGGATGACTCAGACTATTATTTATACCCAGTAGATACGGATCTCGACTCGCCCCACAAGCTAGCTGCAGCACTCAAACGATTCAAATTCAAGAACCCAGAGGCAACTATCCAGCCCTACCTTCAGAAAGCAATAAAATTTCATAATAAGTACAACAGGTCCATCTCAGCTTCTGTTGGGATACCTTCAAAAACTTTCAATTGCTAATGTTGTATCTTTGTCATTTACTTTTCACTTCTCTGCACTTCTCTATATTGTAACTTCAATTAATTATTATTAATAAATTCGGAAAGTGTTCCCCAGCACTTTCCCCACCAAGAGTGGTTTGCCCCGGGTCAAAAAAAATATATCATTATTCTTCCTAACTATATATACCTTATTTACTGCTCACATAGAGTCTAAACCAATTTTTACTCTTCCTTTCTTACCATGGGCCTTCTAGCAACAATCTTCTTGGGTGTTTTCAGTTCGTTTCTTTCTTTGTGTGTTGTGTCTTCTGTTTCAGTTTTATGGGGGAAAATACTTTGATTTTTCCGTGTGTGTTTTGGGTGTTTTTACACTCGTTTGGTTCATAAGTATCTTCTTTGATACTCAGGTTGATGACATTTGGATGAGTTTCATTTCAGTGTTTCTTCATAACTTAGTGAACCTCACTAGCCTCCTTTTCTGGTGTTACATCTCACCTTTTCTGGTGTTACATCTCACACAAAGCTTCTAGGGGTAGTAATCCTACACCTAGAAGAGTTTATTTTAAAGAACTGATCATATGGGTCTAATGAAGGGTGTGAGTTTGGTTGATTTCCTTGTTTTCCTTGTGATGACAAAACCATTTTCTGAGGATAACCCTGCCAGGGGCGGATCTAGCTTTTGTGTTGAGGTGGGGCCAAATTTTAATTAGCGATACATAATTTATTTTGCAAAAAAATGTTCAAATTACAAGATTTGGTTATATAATTTTACAGAAGTGTCAAAGAAAAAATAATAAATATAAAAAACCGAAAATTTAATTATCTTAAAAGAGCCATAGATATCTAACCGAAATTGGCTCGCGTCGGTTAATGACGTGTTCAATACCAATTTTCAAATTGATTTCTGGAAATTCAATTTTCTTTTGACTCCATAGTCTATGCTCTATGTAAAAAAAGTAAACTAATTAAATTTCACCTACCAAGCAGAATGAATTGAACTTATTAATTTTTCAAATCAATATTCAATTGTCCAATGATGTGAACTAATTAATTTTTTTGACTAATATTCGAAATTCTAATGAATCGAATTAAATAATTTTTCAAGCTAATATTCAAAAGCCAAATGATTTGAACTAATTTTGCATACCAGTTACCAAAAGCCCAACAATTTGGAAGTGTATCAAAAAATTTACTCATGTTGCATGAAAAATTATAAATATGGTGCCCAGGGGACTCGAACATGACTCCTTTTGTTAAATAATTAGTGTGCTTCCATTGGACCAACTTGACTAATGTTCACAAATTGACATTAGCTTTTTTATATCATGACTACTAAAACACTATATATTAATATATACATAGTATATATATACTAATAATTATAATTTTTTGAGCATGGGCCTAGGCCCACCCTGGCCATGGGCCAGATCCGCCCCTGAACCCTACTAAAGGAATGACAATTGGCTTTCCTTTATGTGGTTTATCTAAAAAAAAAATCATTCCAGCTCAAAAATATCTCATTCCAGCTCTTATTAGTAGTTGGCTTTCCATAGCTCTAATGATAGCCGCAGTGCATGAACAAATGGGTACAACTCTTATTATGTATTAGGGGTGAGCATGGGACAGTACAGGACGGTTATTTCAAAAAAATTGTCCCGTCCCAAAGTACGGTTTTTTTAAAATCAAAGAACCAGTACCGTCCCAAATATATATAGAACGTGTCCCGTTCCGTACTAATTTTCGTTATGCTTCGGTACGGTTCGGTACGGTTCTTCGATATTGTTCTATTCCTAAATAATTAACTTCTACAAAGTCAAAAATATTTTAAGTTTTGTCATTAATAAGTAACTATACAAAAATTGAAGAGAAGGGACCGCAAGATTAAAAATCAAACATAACTGAAATACAAAACTAATAGTCAAAACTATAATAAATTAAAGAAAGGTAACATTCAACTAAAAATCGAAAGTGATAATCAAACTAAAAAACAAAAGGTATGTCTTCACTTTTTTTTTTTTTTTTTTTTTTTTTTTTTTTTTTTTTTTTTTTTTTTTTTTTTTTTTTTTTTAAAGAAAAAATGCATTTTATTGATAAGAGAAAAACAGTACAATGCGAGAATAAAAAGAAAAGCAGTACAGAGAAAAAGTAAAATAAAGGAAAACATAAAACTAGTCCCAAGGAAAATCTCTGGATTGTGATCTAGTCGTCATGCTGTGACGCCTTTTGTTCTTTTGCGTTTTTCTGTAAATTTTGAGTTGTGTGTTTAAGTTGTCTGTTGGCAGACAATTTTCCGATGTGACGAATTTTGCTTTGCGGCAAATAGCCCTGTTGAGTTTGGAATTTCTAATTTCTTCCGGGTAGGAGATCGGAAGACGACGATCGCTTTCAGTTGCGTGTCCAAGAAAGTCATCTCTAAAGAAAGAGTCATCAGAATGGTCAAAACCATCTGAGGCATCTGAGTAAGCCTCGATCCGTGGTAGTTGTTTCATGGGAGTGAAAACCAGTTGATTCTCGATACTAGCCGCTTGGATTTGATAATTTAGAATCAGTTTAGAGATCGATGTGTTGTCCTCGATTTCATAGGTGCTCCTGTATTGCAAAGAGATTGAGTCGTCCTGCACAGACTCTGGTGGCCCTGCAAAATTAGAAAAAATATTGATGAATTTAAACAAGCTCGATTTTTTCGGTCCCACCGGAATTTGAGCGGAGCTCCCATGATTTTTAGCTAATTTCACATAGTCGCCTGATCTGTTAGTTTCCAAAGAAACTGTAATATCTCCAAATCGTTTACTCCGTGCCAATTTTGATGCAGAACTTGTGAGTTGAGACATAAAGCGAATGATTTGAGGAACAAGGTCAATTTTGAATTGAATCTTGTGTAGCTGAGATTTTTTGACTTCAAAAATAACCACTTCACCATTTTTGACCGCAAATTTAAAAACTTTTGACTCAATTTTGATTGAGTCAAATCCTTCTTGTCCAAAGGTATGTCTTCACATGACAAATATAATATATAATATGATATTTGAGTAAAGCTCGGTTCTTTATAATGTCGTGTGGTTTTATATATAAAAATAAAAATGACCGAGCCCTTCTGGGGAGATCCCTCCGAGGGAGATCAGCCTTGGATGAAAGGGCTCGTCTCCTGGTTCATTGCTACAAAACAGTTGGGCTTCATATCTCCGTTTGAAGGTAATGAAGACATTTTCGTCCACCAAACCGACCTCAGATCTGATTCGGGACAAGACGTTCTCGTTGCACGCTAGCCGGTCAAGTTCATAGTGACGGTGGATAGCGATGGATGTACTCGCATCGTCGATGTTTCTGGCCCTGGTGGAATACCTCTAGAACGGTATGATGCTATAAGAGGCTGATACATTACCTACAGAGGTCCCTATGGAGGTAGGGGCGTAGGTGGCCGATCTGGAGGCTACGGAGGTGGAGGCTGCTTCGTTTGCGGCAAAGACGGTCACATTGCTAGAGACTGTAAACGGAGCGGAGTCAGAGGCTGCTTCACTTGCGGTAACGATGGTCACCTTGCTAGAGACTATACACAGAGCAGAGGAGTCGGAGGCTGCTATGGTCACCTTGCTAGAGACTGCGCATAGAGTGGAGGAGTCAACAAAGACTGCTACATTTGCGGTAACTATGGTCACCTAGCTATAGACTGCACACAGAGCGGAGGAGTCAAAGACTGCTACGTTTGTGGTAACTATGGTGATTTTGGTTTTATAACATTTGATGTGCACGTTAAGTCTATATGTGTGTGTGTGTGTGTTTCTTAGGAAACTATAATATAAGTTTCAAATTTATGTTGTCATTTTGAATGAGCATTGACCTTAATTAGCTCTGATACAATATTAAAATTTGGATTTTATATCACTTGATGTGTATGTAAAGTCTGTGTGTATGTGTATTTCTTATGAAACGCTAATATAGATTTCAAATTTATTTTGTTATTTTAAATGAACTTTGACATCGGTTAGTTCTGATACTATATTAAGATGTCACCTTTTAATCAATTGATGTGTACATTAAATCTGTATATATAAATTTATAGAATATGGGTCAAATATTTAAGAACATCTCGTATTGTATTAAATGAGAATAAATCTTGATCATCCATTTCAAAGTTTCGTTAGTGAGATCACACTCCAATTTAAAGGTATTTTAGCAATGAACCGTTTAAAAAAATTGATAACACTTCTATTCATCTCAACTTAATTAATGCTATCAAGTTTTTTTGGAAGAAAGTTATATTTCCCTGTCACTTTAATTGCATTTAATGATTTGGATTTTTTTAGGTGTAATAATTTTGTTATTATCTTGTCTCATCTATAATATTATTGTGATTATATAAAAAATTAAGTAGACATATATCCAAATAGAGGAATGTTCAGGTCCGAACATTCCCCGTCCGAGCACCGTCTGAACATGGACGTTTGGGACACTTACCGGTGGAATTTTTGATGAAATTTTTTGAGCATGTTCTTCATCAAGTATAGTTTGTCCATACCAAATTTCAGCTCAAAATTCGATCGGGAAGGCATTCAAATCTTTTTTTGAAGTTGACTGCCTCAAATATACATATAAAAACGCAGTCAACTTCAAAAAATGATTTGAATGTCTTCCCAATCGAATTTTGAGCTGAAATTTGGTATGGACAAACTAGACTTGATGAAGAACATGCTCAAAAGATTTCATCAAAAACTTCCACCGGGAAGGGCCCCAAAAAAGGATGTTCGGACAGAGGGTTCTATCCGAACGTTTGGACCTGATCATTCTTGTATCCAAATATATGCTTTACCCTATTTGTTTTCAAAGATCAATTTTTCCATAATTCTAAATTGTTTGAACAATTGACTGTAGTGCACAACCAACATATAGTGATGCACACACTTATTCTAATGTGCATAACTTGCATAATTTGTTTATAATGCTCAGTTGACATATAGTGACGCACATGTATTCTAATCTAGAGCATAATTTGCATACCACTTTGTTAACAAATCTTGCACTTCTTAAACCAAATATATTTCTACACTATAATACACGTACACAAGATCTGGTTTCAATGAGAATAATTCATTTCGTGAAAATGAGAATGTACCTAAACAACACACAGTATGGTTCATGGAGGTGCACATTTATGGTTAAAATTTGAATATGAAAATTTTTCGTTATTATAATGCATGGAAAGGCGCATTTTTAGTTATGGTAGGACACATTACTGTTTCACATAATGCACAATACTCAAATCTAACACTTCATAATCATTCTCATTTCCCTCCTTATATCACTAGTATGTGTACCCGTGCGTCGCACGGTAAGAGTAGTTCATGATTAATTTTTTCAAGAAATGAAGTGTATTTTAAATAATTAAAAAGAAAGGAAAAATATACAAAATGGAGAAACGACTCATTATCATATCAAATATTTTAGTTTGTGTTACCATGATATACGTTATAGACTGCAGTAAGTTTATAGATTTTGTTTTTGAGAAACTGTAAGTTTATAGAATTGAAAATACAAATATGAATATAATTAAAGATTATTATACTTAAAATAATTGTTTAAAAAGAGTTAGTTCACAGTTGTACGATAATCATAATTTGAAAAGGAACATAATTAACTTATAAAAGAGTGAGGGAGAAATGGCTGAATGATTTAACATTTTATTTAAAAGGCTATACACAACATAGTGTATTTATCATTATTTATTAGGAAAATTTTGTCAAAAAAATTCTTCAAAAGCTCTTCAAGGGATTGCTTTATTATATAGTTGATTCTATGGTACCCATAAGTACCATACCTTTGTCCACATGGATCAATCAGAATGTTGCAGTTGAATTATTTAAATCAAAATAAAAAATGATATAATGATTTGGACCAATGAAGTGAATGATAGGTGCGGTACCTCATTTTTTAAATGGGTACCAGAGTTGTCACCTTATTACTTCCTCCGTCCCATTGGACTTTGCCAAGTTTCTTTTTTTGGTTGCCCCAAAAAACTTTGTCATTTTCCCATTAAAGTAACTATTTTGTGGTTCTCATCATTTCTCTATCCTCTGCACAATCTTCAACCATACAATTTTTACTATTCTTATTTCTCACCTAACTCAATTAATGCAAAGTCCATTGGGACGGAGGTAATATATTATATAAATATATATGTGGAATTTTGGAAGTTGAATAGATTTTTCTTTACCCTTTTAAATGCTTATAAATGTTAGTACATATTTTATGTCATGTATGCCACATGTCAAATTTTCTTATAATGAGTGTTGCCACATGTCAATCACTTCTACATGGAGGTCTCTAAGAGTTTGCTTTATTATATTATATAGATGTTCTCATTTAAACTAAATTCGTACAACATAATCAATAGTTTAGACATATTCAAAAGTACAGTAATAAACACAAGTTGGATACATACACCAAATCTATTTAAACTATAATGTGGAGTATATATTAATTTTACAATAATATTATCATTAAATTCACATGTAATGCATTTGATGCACTAGTATGCACATAATATACATATTGAGATAAATCTAACACAAAACAGTAATAAATGTATGGAACTTTACAAAATATGTATGGACACTTTTTTTTAACGTGGAAACCCGAAAGGATGAAAACCACGAGACTTTTCGAGCTAATGTCCAAGCCACTCTCATTTTATTAATACACTCCTCACCATTTTAGTACAATTGTCAAGCCTTGGAAGCCATCAATGGACTCCCAAGCTTCTAGAGGGAGAAGTAGAAGTGGAGGAGGAGGAGGATCCCCAAATAATGAGGGAAAGCCTCTTATTTATAGCAAATGGGGGGAGGGGCATAATCTATCCTAATGAGCCAAATGGGCCGACGGACCAAAACAGGCCTCGCACATTGGGCCCCGTGTGGGGATAGTGTGTTGGGCATCTCAACAGTAACAAACTGAGATAATATATCCCAACACAAGTCCCACATTTTATTGAGTAGTGAGCGTGCGAATTTGCTCGAGAAATTATACTCTCGCTTGCGCTCTTTATTGAGTAGTGAGTGTGCATGCATGAATAAGTGAGATGTGTATTCCTTGCATTGGGTGCGATGGCGCTGAGGGCCGGGCGATCGTGGTACATAAAACGGCGGTCTCCATCCCAAAAGAAGGATAGGCGAGCCTGGTCGAGAACTAGATACGATGGCGCTGAGGGGCCACTCATGCTGCATAAAATGACGATCACCATCCTAGAAAAGGGATAGGTGAGCCAGACCAAGAACTAGACACTACGGCGCTGAGGAGCCGCTCGTGCTGCATAAAACGGCGGTTCCCATCACAGGATAAGGGATAGGAAAGCCCGTCCAAGAATTAAACAAGATGGCGCTGAGGGGCCACTAGTGATACATAAAATTATGGTCGCCATTCCAGAACAGGGATAGATGGGCCTAGTCAAGACTTTACATGACAGTGCTGAGGAGCCGCTCGTGCTATGTAAAACGGCAGTCACAATCCCATCGCATGGATAGGTGAGCCCGACCGAGAATTAGACACGACGGCGGTGAAGAGTTGTTCGGGCTACGTAAAGCGGCGGTTGCCATCCCATAACATGGATAGGAGAGCCCGGCCCGACCAAGAACTATATACAATGGCGCTGAGGAGCCGCTCGTGTTGCATAAAATGGAGGACGTCATCCTGGGATAGGGATACGTGAGCCCAGTCGAGAACTGGACATGACGGATTTGAGGAGCCGCTCATGCTACATAAAACGGCGGTCGCCATCCCAGAATAGGGATAGGCGAGCCCGGCCGAGAAGTGGACACGACGTCAAAGAAGTGCCGCTTGTGCTTCATAAAACGGCGGTAGCCATCCCATAACAGGGATAGGCGAGCCCGGACGAGAACTAGATACGACGGCCTTGAGGATCTTATCATACTAAATAAAATGGTCCATTGCTTTGAAAGAAAACTCCATTCTAGCTTCGGCTTGAGCAAGCCGAA